ATGGCCGCGGTCTCGAAGGGTAAAAACCATGCTGGAATTATTTTTGAATCTTGATCGAGAGGTTGGAGACCGTGATCGCGAAGAAGGACCACTGATAGTGCATTAATTTTCTCCACCTTTTGAGTTCTTTGAGCACAAGTAAGGCAATTTTGGAGGAGATAATCACCCAAATTATGAGGGTAAGTAATTTTATCTTTGTTTTGATTATATATATTTTATTTTTTTATGGATTATTACACCTAAATCAAGGATCTGAAGAGAAGAAATTGGGAGCTTTTGATTTGAACTTAAGAGAATGAATTTTAGGGTTTTGAACATGAAATTGATGTCGGAATTGGATGAAACTTATATGGTTAGACTCGTATTCAAATGGGTTAATCAGAATTTCTGAGTTTTGTCAGATTTCGAGATGCGAGACTGAGTTGACTTTGAGTAATTGATTAAAGATTCGATCTTTATCTTTTGGGTTTGTTATGGCATTATTTGGTGTTTTTAGTTGCTTTTAGATAGTTTCATGTTTTATGGAGGTTGATTTGCGCGGTATGACATTTTTAGAGTATTGTTTGTCTTGCTCGATATTTGATTTGACTTGGTTGAAGTAAGTAACATGTCTAAACTTGGATTTGAGGGTAGATATCCCTGAGAACTATGATATTCGAGAAGGGTTGCTAGGTAACGGGCGCGGGTGCTAGCATCGAAGGTATGATCGTAGGCCATTATATGCCTTGTTTTAATATCATGCTTCTTCGATTTCATGTTTTCTCCATTTATGTGACTACGTGAGATATTATTCGCGTTAAAAATCATGTCTAGGCCACCTGCTTAATTGTTTGAGATATGATAGTGCTATTTTTGCCATGTTGAGCTATTTTCCCCAGCTGTAGTCATATTTTACATTCATGATTGTTACATCCGCATGTTATATATCTTTTTCTGTGTACTTTTGATATGCTTTCTCACATGTTATTGGTGTCCTTGAATGTGACACAAGCTTGGACTGTATTTGAGGCATATTGCGATATTCTGTGTTATATAATTGTATTACGTTTTAGTGAAATGTTTGCATATTGAGCCTTGAGAGGATTAATGATTGATGTGGGCCATAGAGCCGTATTTATATTGATATGTGGATTGGGTTGCACGACACACCTATTATATTGATATTGAGGTGATGCATTTGCCAGACCCTACATTGGGCTAAGCTGTACTACCTTAAGGCTACGTGGGCATCAGGCTCCACCATTTGGGCTAAGTGATTATGATTAGCGCTTGGGTAGGATCCGCCCCTCCGTTGTCTGACATGCCAGCAGTAGGCGCATGCACAATATTTCATATGCGTGCTTTGATGATGGGCAGTTATGCCAAACACCCATAGAGTACTAAGTGCGATTATTTTGATGGATCCATAGTGATATTGTTGGGGCATTTGAACCAGGCACCTGGAGTGTGCTAGGATTGTGTGTACTCAATAATTTCATTGTGAAACTGAGTTCTTGACATGTAGGCATAGAGATGTACATTCCTCATGCTAGACAGAGACATGATATTTGATTACTTGACATGTATACCTGACATGTAGGCATAGAGATGTACCTTACAGTGACCTGACATTTGATTACTTAACATGTAGGCATAGAGATGCATGTTCCTCATGCTAACTGGTAAATGAAAAGTCTTATCCGATGTAGTGAATTGAAAAAAAACACAGTTCTTTTGATAAACTCATGTTTAATTGATTTCAGTGGTAAGATTTTAGACTTGGACTGTTATACTTGAAACATGTCTACTCTCCCGTATTTGTGAACGAGCCGAGCATTACATCTCCGGAGTTATATATCTTTTTTTCCTTCACTACAATGTTATGAACTATTATTGGCTATTGATGTTGGACATTGACCTTCTTCCGAGCACGTCACTGCTTTCAACCTGAGGTTAGGTTTGTTACTTATTGAGTACATGGGTCGGTTGTATTCATACTATACATCTGCACCTTGTGTGCAGATCTTGGAGCTGATGTTGTTGCGTATGGCGGGAGCTGGCATTGAAGATGCACCTGCGTTCCGGTTATGGCTGCCACTTGTCCTTGGTAACTTTAGATTTGCAAATCTATTTATACATATTTCAAAAAGATGATGTATTTATTTCGTACCAGCCTTTTAAATGCTAAGTCTTAGAATCTCATAACTTGTACTACCAATCTTTGGGAGATTTTATAGAAATTCAGTTATTTTACTCATTTACTTTTATCATTCTCATTTGAGTTTTGTTGATTGTTACTTGGATTACCTAGAGTATTTGAGTTAGGTGCCATCACGACTAGATGGATTTTGGGTCATGACGACTGATCGATGGATTTCGACCCTAATTTTATAGTTTGAAGTTGTTGGTTCAACTAAAATTCCCTATTTTTGCTTGCTTGTAAGTAGGTATCCTCAAGACATGCTCACATATATTTTACTGTAAAACATCCTGTGATGAGGAACATTGACTCTTCGATCATTGTTCCGGAGAGCCAACTCCTAACAAGAACATTGTATTCTTCCCATTTAGTAAACATCGGGAACATCGGGTTTGGATTACTTTCTCCTTTCTCATCTGCTGTGGTCTTGGCTAGGGATTCATCTTTGATGATCTTGTCAATTTTCAAAGTTCTCATAAGTTGAAAGATTTGTGTCCTCCAAACAATATAATGTGATTGTTTTAACTTAATTGGACAAATTATAATGAGTTGGTGAAGCGAAGAGGGCGAGAGAGCTAGGGTAGTGCTAGAGGATGTTGTCATGCTTGTTTTAGAGGAGAAGGAAGAATTTTCATCATCGTTTGATTTTTAATAGAACCCATAATCTAATGCCATGAAGAAAATATATAAAAAGAATTAGCTTCGAATGTTTAACTTCTAGCTTTTATGATTCACATACTGGTTACACGAGATACATATAGATTTTTACATGAAGGATACTTGAGTAATTTAGTCTCTCTCTACTCCTAGGAGTACAATCACATATGAACTCATATACATTATATTAGAGAGAGAAACACGGCTTAGAGCTACTGTTCTTCTTCATGTGGTATAGTCTAACATAGTTCAATCTTCAACAAGTTGAACTCCAACATATTAGAACGGAGAATGAGGAGATTTCCTGCTTTTTCATCATTTCAACAACCAATTCAATGTGAAATTCTGATCGAATATTGAGCCAACATTCTCGACAACTTTCAAGAAATATCATGCAATTGTTAGACCAAAGACTTCTTTAATGCCAAATGTAAGGTAAAATACATATTTTATCCACAAACTTGTACCGAAATCTCTGTTACACACTTTTTTTTACGAAAAACTTTTTTTATATTCAATCTTTCAAAAATATATCTAAAACACAAATAATTAGTAGTTGACTACTTTTTTCTCACCAAGTGAAGTCACACACCAATAATAACGTGACATGTTATTTACTTAAAAACTTGAATTTATAATTATATCCATCTTCTTCATCTTTCCCCAAGTTGTACCACCATGCCGCACCCTCCCCCCCCCCCCCCCAAAAAAAAAAGTGAGTAATTTTGTATTAGCAACCATGAACCTTTATTTTTAATTTTCAAACTATTAGGACAACATTGAATTTCTGTCATCATTACCGATTAAATATTTTCCCTAAAATTCCTCGTATATGTATCTTCCGTCTTTCAAATTGACCAACTGATTCTATTGTTTGAGTACCAAAATTGCTTACACCAGCAACAGTAAAAACAGAAATTCTAGCGAAACACATATGAAGAACTCCACGAATTTTCCCTTCAACATTTGGCCACCCAGGCAACGCAACCGTGATATCGTCATTCATCGATTCCTATGTTGAATCTGAAACTCTGATTTTTTTTTATCCTCCTTTAAATCTTGGCAAAAATATTTGGTAGTACGGTGGTAGAAGAAAGCGATGGTGTAGTAATGGAAAAAGATGGAAAAGAATAGTGGATTTTTTTCCCAAGAAAATGAAGAAAAGGATTTAGAAAAATGAAAAAGTTGGACAAGTGTTGTCAAAATGAGCCGTTAGACACACAATTTTAATTGTTCACTTGCCTCTTATGTGTGGAAAACACGCGAGTGACACGTAATCAAAACTGTGTGTTTTAGACACACTTCTAAAAGGTTAGTGTAAAAGATTACCTGCTAAAAAAAGGTGTGTAACAAAGATTTTGGTGCAAGTTTGAGGGTAAACTATTTACTTTGCCTACTTCCTAATAAAATATGATGACTTTCAATGGTGAAGTGTACAGCGGGAAACCTGCATTCTTGTAAACCATGCACTTCTTGCTGAAAATTCCATGCAGTTGAGAGTTTTGGAAGGCTGTTGTTGCTCAATTTATGCATTACTTTCTAATTATAACTTTAGCTACCTTCTTATAAGATTACACTCCATACTAAACGCATACATATGATGCATCAAAAGGACAACTTAGGAAGATCTTTTCATTGTTTTCACTTTGTAATTAACCTTGTCGTGAGAAAGAAATTGCAAGGCCATGCTTCAAGAGGAGGATCCAGAATTTTAATTTTATGGGTCCAAGATTCGGATTCTAACCATTGAACACATTACCTTATCTAAGTTATGGGCTCGTAATTCAATAATTTCAGTAATTTTAGTGAATTTTACACATACATATCTAGGTCTAGGCTAAAAATTATAGGTTAAAATGAACCGATATCTAGATCCACCCCTGTACGTGGTTTATGATATAACGATCGGCATTCACATCTTTAACTCACACTTTGAACAGAAAAATTAAACCTGCTCTAAAAGAGCAAACTATATTATTGGAAAACCTATGGTTGAGTGCATACGGCGTATTATAGACAATGGTGGTGTAACAGGCAAATCAAACCTTCATTCTGCTAAGTATAACGCAAACTTAACCTCTTCAGAGGGGCAAATCCTGCACAGTTTAATTAACTTGTTGATGGTGAGAATATGATCAAATCCAGATCTTCACGCAAAAGCTGATGGAAGAAAGCACAAGCTAACTATATCACAAGGTCCAGAACCGCATACTCTAATAACATAACAGTAGTCATTGAGAGAAACAGGTTGAAACCTTTTCAAAAGAGGAGTAGAAAGAGGATCAACATCAACAAAGAAGTCAACATCAAACAGAATTAAAGCTAACCAACCAACATAAAAGATCTTAAATTGCTACATTCATGCAGATTTTATCTGCTTATTCGTTAGAGAGCTTCCGGCGCTTGTACTTCACCATTACTTTGCCTTTGACACCGACAACCATTGCATTCCAGTCAATTTCAGGGAAAGGCGAGATCAATTCGAACTCAAAATTTCTCAGCAAGTGGCTCCATATTGCTTTTATCTGCAGATAAGCAAATGGTTCCCCAAGACAACCATGCCTGCCTCCACCAAAAGAAATATACGAGAACGCTCCTGCTACCTTGTCTTCATCTCGACCAGGAGTAAACCTATCAGGGTCATAGGTATCTGGGTTCTTGTAGACATGTGGCAGCCTGTTTGCAAAAGCAGGTGATGTCGCAACGATATGACCCTTAGGAATGTCATACTCTTTTCCTTCCCGGGTTTTAACAGTGAAATCACTATGCGAACTACGTAGAAGCATTATCAGTGGAGGATGGAGTCTCAGGGCTTCCTTTATGCATCTGTAGAGGACTTCCATCTCGGAAAGGATGTCATGATCGACCTTATTCCCATGTTTCTTCATCAGATTCTTCTGTTCATCTACGACGGCAGACATGTACTTGTTGTTGCAAAGGAGGTATGCCCCTGTCCAAGTGGAGGTGATAGAACTGGTGTGCTGCCCAGCGAAAAGAGCAGCAATCAGAAGACCAGTGATCTCAGAATCTGTTGTTGCCCGTCCATCTTTGTACTTGGAGTCAATGAAGCATTGTAACATATCAGACTCTGCCTTGCCTGTACGTTTTCGAGAATCTATGATGTTTGCAAAGATCTCCGCGAGCTTCTTGCGTGCATTGTCACGACGGCGATGGGCTGGAATGGGGAGGTACGGAAAGATTACACTGATAGGGAGCATCCCATTGTCCAAGTCATGGAAGAGAGCAGACACATCCTCGAAGAGTTTATTGCGAACCTCTTCTCCCAACAGACATCTACTAGCTGTCAGTATGATAAGATGCTCCAGTTCATACTTCAAGTCCACTTCACCACTATCACCCCATTTTGAGAAGTACTCCTGCATTTGCCATGCGCAAGAACAACAAACCCTTTCAATCAAATTAATTATGCAAAGTCCATATGTATTGGGCAAACAGTACAAAACCATTCTTCCATACTTTTCCTCCACCAATGATTGCATGCATCATTAACTGAGGTTTCCCTGGTGAAATGAAAAAAGGGCTAATTCACACTAAAAGTGTTGCGAATACTTGTTAACAATTATCTCCACGTTATCCCCAACTGAAGGGCAAAAGTTGTGGTCAAGCAAATGAAAGGAACATACTAATTGCATGAGAATATAGATCTTGCAATATGATCTACTGAAAAAGTAGGAAACTTGATCACGATCTTAGTTACAGTAACAAATGCATCATGCATTTCTTACTAGGCCAAGGATCTAGTAGGGGATTCTTGTAAAACCAGTGAGAAGCCAAACTAAAATTAATCATAAGAAAAAACAATAGAAGTTAAAAGGGTGGGAAAGAAATAACGATCCAAGATCATAAAAGAATTTCAGAGATCCAAGGACATTATCCTAAATATAAATTACAGTGAATTACAGTGACACAGGTCAACTCATCTGCAGAAACACAATTAGAGCACATAGATATTGTCCCTCTGTCACTATTTTCAGATGAAATAGGCACGCAAAGTCCAATTTAGCAAAGTATGACTTAAAACTGAATTAAACATATTACTATTGTGTACAATAAATGTGACAGAAATTCTTTTTAGTACCTCAGCTTCCATAACCATCTGATCCACATATCCCTTCAACTTATTTACCCTCAAAGCCTCAGTAAAGAACCTGAATTGTTCTTGCCTAATAGTATAATCAACATCAAAAACCACACCAGGGCCAAAAGTAGGCACATTGAACTGATAAACCTCTTGTTGGCTGAGATCGGTTTCTGGAGCCTTAAAGAAATGGGCCGACACTTCTGGGCCGATGAAGAACGTGATGTTCTTGTTCAGCAGATTCAGAGTGAACACACTACCAAGCTTAGGGTACTCCTCCCTCAGCATAACCACTGGGCCTTTGAGGAATCGAAGCAACCCACCGAGAATTGGCCAGGATTTGATCACTGGAGGCAGCCGCTTCTTAGATCTGGGCATAATTAATGCTGATATGAGTTTGGCTACCACTAGGGTCACTACTAGCAGCAGCCCTACGTTCAAAATCTTGTTATCCCCTAACTCCATTGCTGTGGCTTATTCAATAAATAAAACCTGCAATTTAAAGAAAAAGACGGAGACGGAGACTTTAGTTGGAATTCAAATGATTTGAGATAAAAAAAGAGTGAATCACATTGCAGAATATAAAGATCTGAGATTCCAAAGCTGTCAAAAAACAGAAAAAGTGTGTGTGTCTGTGTGCTTAGAAGAAAATTAAAGAAGAAGAAGAAGAAGAAGAACAAGCAGAGACCTGAATGAAGAATCAAAAGATTAAGAGAGGCTCATAGTCATAATGGAGGCGCACTTCTGTTGAGATCCTTTCACTCCTTTGCCTGCCTCTATCTATAGAGCTGTAGATTCAGTCTACTGACTGACTGCTGACCGTGCACAGCTGTTTTTTTTATTTATTTGTTCTTTTTTTAAAAAGAAATACAGGAGAGTTTGAGTTGGATCTGGATTGTTGGGTATCTTATTTTTCCTCTGTTCTTGTTTTTTCTAATTAAAAGTGGGCGTTTGGACATAAGAATTGTAAAATTCCAAAAAAAAGCATGAAAAAATAATTTTTTTAAATTTTAAAAATTTTCAAAATGCATCTTCAAGTAAAAAATAAAAATTATACGAACAAACGCTAATTTTGAAAAAAAAAATAAATAAAGAAAAAGAAAAAATTTCTTATGTCCAAACGGGCTCTAAGTGCACGGAACTTGGGAGGGTGGTAATAATTAAAAGATTTTTACATTCCTATGTCATATAGTAAACTATATTACCTTTCATGCTTAACTTTTAATATAATTACCTTTTATATATCTAATTACCATTTATGTACATTTTAGGCGTTTTAATGATATTAATTAGTCTTCTAATTTAACTCTACCGTATATTCCAACTCCCCCCAAGTTTCTCTCTCCAAATCTCACCCCAACCACACCCCACTATTTCCTCTTCAATCACCCACTATTTTCTCTTCTAAAACCAGCAAAAATCTGTAACACATCCACCATTGACAACCATTAAAAAGCTTTGAAACTTTGAATTCGAATTTGGGTTTTCAAAAGACATTGTTTATTTGGATTGGATGTTGCTGCAAAGAATGATGTTGCTGCAAAGAATTGAGAATTCTCTTTACGTCTCTCTCTATCTCTCAATCCCAAATTTCAGTAATGTAAAGCAAAGGAAAAGAGAGAATAGCAATTCCACCATTGACAGCTATTAAAAAGCTTTGAAACTTTGAATTCGAAATTGGGTTTTCAAAAATCATTATTTGTTTGGATTGAGTGTTGTTGCAAATAATTGGGAATATGGTTTGAAGTTTATATCTTAATTTTGAGGGATTTTGGTGAAGATTAGACTTGGTTTTGGCTGAATTTCAGATTGAAACTCGAAGAAGAAGAAGAAGACATGACATACATTATATTGCAAAAATTATAGAAAAATGTATTCTGTTGTTTATTTATTTTTCTTTTATTCATTTAAATAGTATGAAAATGTACAACATTGTATAAAAATTATATTTAAGTTGTATGAAATTGTAGTTGTATATAATTAAGTAGAAATAATGTATGAAAATTGTAGATAAGTTGTATAATATATAATTAGTTGTAAGTCTTTCTTAATTCCTATGTATAAATCAGATACAAAATATACAAAAGACATATTGTATAAAGTTTGTATTTAAGTTGTATGTTATTGTAGTTATATTTAACTGGGTAGAAATAATGTGTGAAAGTTGTAGATAAGTTGTATAATATATAATTAGTTGTATGAAATTTATTTTTACTATGTATAAATCAGATACAAAATATACAAAAGACATATTGTATAAAATTTGTATTTAAGTTGTATGTTATTGTAGTTGTATTTAACTGGGTAAAAATAATGTGTGAAAGTTTTAATAAGTTATATAATATATAATTAGTTGTATGAAATTTATTTTTACTATGTATAAATCAGATATAAAATGTATAAAAGATATATTTTATAAAATTGTATAAAAATTGTATTTGTGTAATAAGGAATAATGTCAAGAACAGAGAAGTGGTTGAATCTGAAGCCATTTTCATCTACTTTCTTATAAAATTGAAACTGCTTTGGTAAACTTTTAAAAGGTGTATTGGTACTAATTTTTGACTTGTTTATTTATAGAGAAAATATGAAGATGTGAACAGTCTAATTTTAAGTGTGAAATTGAGGCGTTGCAGTCTGGAGATTTATTCAAAAATGGAAGAAAAGTTTTGTCTGTGGATTCCTTTGAATTGTTTGTTTAGGATGTATTCCCTTCCATTCTTGTCCGGCAGCAACAGTATATTGTATGATTTCTATACCAATGTTTAATTAAGATAATTTGCTTACAGGCAAGAATTTTAGCTCTGAATGCATCATACTTCTTGAAAGCTGGAGGTCACTTTGTTATATCAATAAAGGTTTGTACTATACTACTTTGGCCACTGCTTGATAAGGTAATTTTTGACTTTGTCCTGACGCTAATTTCTTCAATTTATTATAGCTAGCATATTTATTGTAGACCTTATATTGAAAATGAGAAGAAGGAAAATGGTGTAACTAAATCCCTTAATTGAAGGCACTAATAATGGATTGTGAGCCTTTTAAGGTGGAATGTATATATTTTGTAAATAAAATTTGTGTAGGTAGGGTAATTTACTTCCTCCGGTCCAAAATAAGTGATTTTTTAGCTTTTTTCTTGTGGTCCAAAATAAGTATTTTTTTTAAATTTCAAGAATGAATTAATTATTTTTTCCTACATTGCCCTTGGAGTAGTTAATGTTGGAGTATGTGTTAGGAGTGTTTATGTGAAGAGATAGTAAAGGTAAATATGGTTAATTTCATTGTTAATTAATGTTAAAATGTGAGTTTCTTAATATGTGTACAACTTTTTACACTGGAGATAGTACTAAACATCAACATTTAGGATAATAAAATTTCTAATAATATATAGAAATAAAAAAATCTCAATAATTAATGAGTAAATAGGTTAGTAGAATTTAAAAAATGATGAGCACGTGAGAAAACAATGGGACGAAAAGGGGCCAAAAAGAGTGTGGTATTCATGACAAGCCTTTCCGATCGTTCGATATGATCGAGGTTGCCCTCAACGAAGACTACCACTAATGTCGTAGTTTGGCTTTTAGTGATGAGGAGCTGGAATATCTCGGATTTTGCTATTCTTCGGTAACTAATATTTCCAGTTTTCCAATTGGCTATTCAACTTATTACACGTGTCCCATTAAGTAATAAATGGTCCGGATTTGTTTGAATACCTGTCCCGCATATTTTCAAACAATTTATGACATGTGTTGCATTATATGGAGTTCGCAATCAAAGTAACGTTGTGTTCGGTCGAAATTGGGTTCGTCGGTTGTATGACAGATCGGGATTGATAAATGATGGGCTGAAGATCGACCCTGAGTTCTATCGAACCAAGGTATGAGGGCAGAATACCCGTCCTCGATATCATCGAGTCCATGACTCCGGAATCGACCCGACCCTGAATGAGCTCGAGAAAAAACATTGTCCGGCTGGGTAACGGAAGGCAAACCATCCGTAATTGGTCAGATATTATGATAGGAATCTCGGCATATATCAATGAGGAACTGACTAATCAATAAATCATAAGATTTTTACCTTTTATAGAAATGTACCTAAAATAGGATTTCCTATATAAAGGAGGTTTGATTATTTGTAAAGTACATTATAGCAGACATCCCAAAGCATTATAATATTATTTTCTTTCTGCAAGCTATTGCTCTTCTGAATTAGATATCATTTGAATTACATCCAGTTCGAGTGAGACTTATTTTTTAAGGCTATAACTGTTCAAGTCACACAGTTTGAATTTACTTTATTATTGTTCGCTTTATTTAAAACTCAATCTATCGTTTTGTGTCAAATTAATTTATATATCCTTAAGAAACACTTATAAATTCAATTGTTATCCAATTTTACTGGTAAATTGTTTTGACGCCCACCGTTTGAATTTACTTTATTATTGTTCGCTTTATTTATAATTCAATTTACTTTATTATTGTTCGCTTTATTTATAATTCAATCTATCGCTTTGTGTCAAATTAATCCACGTACCCTTAAAACCACTAATAAATTTAATTATTATCCGATTTTGAGGATAAACAGTTTGGCGCCCACCGTGGGGCTAAGCATAATAATGGTTATTTGATAAAAAATTTCATAACACACACTATTTCACACTTGTTCTTTGAAGTGTCTCTGATTTCAGGCTTAAGCTTAAAATGTCAAACTCACAATTAGCACCTCTACCTGCTGATAATGAGTCTGGTCACAATGGTGAAAACAATAACATAACGCCCCATAACGAGGTACCGCCCATTGGTCCCATCAGAATTCCAATTGCGGACCCGTGTCACATGTGGCTATCGAAACAAGCCTCCCTACTAACCCCGAGAATAGCATCCGTGGTGGAGCCTGGTCGGTAGCATAGAATACTCAAAACAATGGAGGAGGCGGGATCAATCGGTGATAGCTTAGTTACAAAACCAGAGCCGCGTACCGAACAAAATCGACCAACAAAACCATACTCCAAAACCTCAAAAAGAGGTTAACTGTCACTAAAGAAAAATGGAAGGAAATCCTACCCGAAGTCCTATGCGCATACCGTACGACCTCGAAGACTAATAACGGGGTCACCCCGTTCTCGCTGGTGTCAAGGATTGCATCAACAATATCTGAGGCTTCTCCCTATGATCAACCTCGAATACTGGAGGGTATTACCCTCGGATATCGACTTTAGCAAGGAAAGAAACTTCATGATTGAAGGGTCTCGATAGATAGGACTTATTGTAAGGGCCAAATGGTAAAACGAATCATGTACGCATAGACCGCTCGAGCCCTGCATGTATGCATGTATAACTATTTTGCACAAAAATAAAAAGAAGTCTTTTCCTTGCGGATAAATATTTTATCCTTCTAAAAATTTTCTTGCATTTTCTCAAGGAATTGGGTTGACGTATAGTGCGATTTATCAGATATATTGGGTCATATGGTATTTCTCCGTTCTCTCCCCCGATCGAGATATCCCTCGTTTCACCCAAGACAAATAAATTTAATCATCAAAAATTTGGAGCGTGAAGTGCAATTAGATCCATTTTTTAGGGGATTCATATTACTATTATCAATTAAAATAATTTATGGTTGGCTTGGTTGGACTAAAAAAATGAAGTATCCAGGCTCCGTTTAAAAAAAAAAAAACAATTGGATTGGTATATCTATGATTGCTATTCATATTTTTTCTTTGTAAAGAGATCCTAATTGTCAAGCAAAGTTATCTCAACTCTAAGAAATACTTGTATAAAATGAATTGAAAAAAAAAAAGAAATACAAAAAGAAATGGTAATGGGAG